ATATATATATATATATATATATATATATATATTAGTGAGTAAAAAAGGTGCTTTAGGAATATGGACTCTTAGCAGCTATACAAAAAATGGCAAAAAAAACTTTTCAAGACCTTATTTTTGATTAGCCTTCCAATACCAGTAGGAGGTTTACTCGTCGAAGCACTAAATGGCTAAAAAATTTCTAAATTAGTAGTAACAACCTAATTCTATCGAAATGGAAAATTATATTTCGAACGCTATTCAAGTTCAAGAAACATAATGGTTACCCAGGAAGCCGGTGTTTCACCATCGGGGACCCTCTCTAAAAGCTGTGGTGGAAGAGCCCACACAGTTCCAAAATGTTTAATGATCTCATCAGATTTCGGGGTGAAAGGCAATCTGTAAACAAATTATTAAGAAATAAGTTTCTATTCAGCGTCTGAGCAGTCCCTTCTTAGTATTCTTTAACAACTCAACTGATTCACTGTAACTTGATGAAGCTTTCATGGGGCATTGGACAAAAAAGCGAGTGACAAACAAAACTAGAGTTCTAAAATGATAAAGAGTAGTCCTGAACTGCTAAATAAATTCAAAAACTAAAACTGCTAAAATCTTACGTAAACTACAATTCAGCAATTGCTTCAAAATATCACAGAAGAGACGAACCTGGTAACAAACCCCTTATAGAAGACGTTATATTCTATTTTGTTCTTTTCCGACAGTCCCTTCCTGGCAAAATTTCCAACCTTACCAAAATCCACACTATGCACGGCTTGTTCGTATTCCTGTTTCGGTCCTGACCCAGCAGAAGGGAAAATAAGCTGCGTATATACTTTTACACCCTGAAGCTAAGAAATTAAAAAAAAAAAGCCCGTAAATACTGTAAAATATAAGAAATAGAGAACTCGAAAGAAATCGTAAAACACATGGCAGTGTCCAGAAACCGATCACACAGGAGCAGTATAAAACCACACATCTCTTTCTTAAAATTTCGGAACAACGAATTATAACACCTTCACAAAAGCTTCCAAACCTTCTTTAGCAAAAGCACCACGTGCATTACTGTTGCAAGCGAGAAAAATACAGTTAGAAATATTGTTCTCCTTTAAACTCAGCGACTTACTTCTTGAACTTGTTGAGAAGCCTCATCAGTTCGCTGAAAAACTTCTGTTTTCAAAAGAGGCCTAATCACTGACATACAAGCTAGTACCGTCCCTTTATCCAGAAACTTTACCCAATCACCAACCTAAAATTAACATCTTCCTGTACAGTCAGTGCCTAAGCACTCAGAGATAGCCAGAGACGACAGCAGATCCTTGCTTCTGAAGAAACTCAAAAGAAACTACCACCAAAACCTTTAAAAGCAAGATGTCATTTACTGCAGTATTAACATTTGGTCGGACTTACTTTAACCTCACTTAAATTGCCTAAGAGTTCGAACTCTCTCTCACGAACTACTCCTACTGTCCAAACATAACCAATTTTCGACTCCTTGTCAACCCGAGTAACAATTCCTGTAACGAAATTTTCTGCCATCTGAAAACAACTGCATTAGCCTAACGCTTCTGCAACCTGTACTACTTAAACAACATACAGGGTACCACTTTGTTCAAACACCATAGTTGTCAAAAACACCAACCACTTTCTCCTACATCCTGCTAGTCAGCCATTCATAACCGGCACACATCTAAACATCCAAAAAATTGACTTTCTAAATTTGAACACTCATCTAAATCCCAAATGGAAAAAAACCACTCCATCACGTATGTAACCCCGCTTCCGATCAAAGTCTCCTCGTTCCTCCCAACCCAGATATGCCCCTGATATTATCCACACAAGCACAACTCAGTAGTACCATGTATTTCGTGAAACGTCAAACCATCAAACAGAAGTAACATCGTCTCCATATTTGCTGAAGACAGAACCTAACGATGAGTACCACTAAAAATACAGCAAGTGTGCAAAACGCACAAGCGTAAAGCAAACGTTGTAAGCCATAAATTCCAAACACCAAAAAGTTTTAAACTTTATTTGACTTCCTCAACACAGAAACCTGCGTATCTGCCTTAAAATCGACTGTTCTAATGTCAATCTCAAAGCGCGTTCAATCAAGTCAAAGCAAACGCACTACAACGACTTCCACAGCTAAACCAAAAACGGTGCTGGAATAGAATGCTATTAGAACGTCTATTGATTGCAAGTCGACATTTTAGTCGGAAACTCTAAGTGGAGGAACACGACGATCATGATAAGTGTCCATACGCTTCAAGGCACGGGCAACCTCGTACCTGAAAAAGCAGTCACCGGTAGTATGTCTAAACTTCTGTGAACTGAATATAAGAAAAAGCGTCAAAGAACTCATTCTTTATCGTTTTTAGAGCTAAGCCTCAGCGACAAATTTAATAAAGAAAACTCGTTCCCTTAAGTTTTTTCTAAGCTAAGCAAAAAAGTTTCTGCAGCCCAGTGGATTTTGGAAATTACAGCTCAGATGAATTAAACTTGTAATAAAAATTATGAAGATTTGAAAAAAACTACCAAACAATACTGTGCCTTCCCGATTTCATCTTTGAGGTTTTTAGAACATTGCTCAAAGTTAACGCGTAACATTTTTTGTTAGTCCTCATTGAAGAGAACAATATCTTGACCAAGTTTTCCCTCACAAGCACAAGTTAAAAATAAAATGCATTTAACAGCAATTTCGAAGAGACAAACCTCAACGTCGCAAATTTCGCGGTGTTCATTTCTATATTATGTTCCCCAATGCAAAGTTTGATTTTAGGGTGCAGGCTCTTACAACACAGTGAACTTCCCATGATAACATCAATACTCCACTCGAAACTCTCCTTCTTGTACTTCAATTCCCACAGCTTTTCCACATAATCTTTCACCTAAGAAAAATCTTTTTAAAATAAATGAAGTCTACATATAAACAATATTACCGGAAAGACCCTAGACATTTCACAAAACAAAGGCAGAACAACTAATACTGCCCAACAGCCCCGCCACCATTTTAATCACAATTTAGAAACCACAATAACTGAGCCTCCACTGTAACCCTCAGATATCCTGAAATAAACACCATATACTGTTAGTTTGATAAGCAGATCACTACGAGCTTCAGTTCCAAATAACATAGCTACAAAGCACATAAGTACCGCAACATCCAGAGAACCCTACCAAAAAAAGCCATTATTTTGAACACCTGTGACGCTATGCCCTTCTTTAAAATAACTCTGCAATAAAATCCGCCAAACGGTTAAGAACAACATTAAAAAATTTGTCCAAATTACTGCAACATTGTGTATACAACTATTATGAAAACAAATTGACTAAAAAGTGCCAAGCCGTACTTCGCTTGCAGCGAATGAAATAAAGCACATTTTTTCACCCTCTCACTCCTGAACTCATCTTCTACCTCGACAAAATTTGTATTACTGAGCAAAAGTATCTGGCTAGATAAGTTGTTTCCAAAAATTAAAATAGTTTCCGGACCCACCGCCCACCAAAAATAGAAAAGAACGAAAAAAACAGCAATATTTAAAAAAAAAAAAGCAAAAATAGGCTATCAAATAGGAAAAATACTTGCAAAACCCTTTTAAACTATGAAAGAACAAACTAGACGACTAAATACAACTAAACTGCTAACACTTTCAGTTTAGAACTCAAAAACTATTTTTGAAAAATTTACTCTTCTCTTACCTCACCCCCTATACAATACCTCCCAATGCTTAACAGAGACAACAACAAAAAGCAGTTTTGCCGACCTGAACAAAATTTGTAATTCTAACAAAATACGAGAACTCGTAGACACTCCTTATAAGGCCCGCACATATAAGCCGCAGAAGGCACACAAAAAACATGTAGATCTTTACAAAACAAGTAATTCATAGAGCCAATTAAAGCGCTACCAATCAAAAACACTACCTCCTGACTTAACCCAAAATTACGTATTATTTCCTTGACAACACTTTCGTCACTGCAACTTAGAAGCTTCGAGAAAAGTTCTGTCAGAGCTTCGACAAATTTCAACCGTTCGTCGTCAAGATTACAGACTTCAAATCCAAAACCCTTTTTCCGACAGACAGCTTCCCACACGTCTACAAAAGAAATTACAAAAGTTTATAAAACTTACGTTCTGTAGGCAGATTAAAAAAAAAGATCCTCTGCCGCGAATCGAAACCAGAATTGTACCTACCATCGATCAAAAACTGATCAACATCATCCAACATGTCACTGCTCTTCAAAAAAGTCTCACGATACACTACCGGTGGATGCAGCTTTCACAACAACCTGTAATGTGTATGCTGCTAAATATAAAGGAAAAACGTTTCGTTTTAAAAACCAGAAAAACTTGTAAACAGATGCACCAACAACTGAAGAATATTACATGAGAAAGCGACCAACTCTCCAAGTTGAATAAGCTTCTGTGAAAACGTCTATATTCGAT